TGAATATGTATGATCAGCAATGACAATTATATAGACATGAGCATTATGATCAGCAATGACAAGTATATAGACATGAGAATGTATGATCAGCAATGACAATTATATAGACATGAGCATTATGATCAGCAATGACAAGAATATAGACATGAGAATGTATGATCAGCAATGACAAATATATAGACATGAAAATGTATGATCAGCAATGACAAGTATATAGCCATGAGAATGTATGATCAGCAATGAGAAAAGCAGTTACTTGTACTAACTGATGGAATGTTTCAGATAATAAGAATATCCTAAAGCATTCGTTGACTAAAAGTGTGGTTTAGGTCTTATGTTAACCATTATAGGTTGTAAATAAGTGTGGTTTAGGTCTTATGCTAGCCATTATAGGTTGTAAATAAGTGTGGTTTAGGTCTTATGCTAGCGATTATAGGTTGTAATAAGTGTGGTTTAGGTATTATGTTAACCATTATAGGTTGTAAATAAGTGTGGTTTAGGGATTATGTTAACCATTATAGGTTGTAATAAGTGTGGTTTAGGTCTTATGCTAACCATTAAAGGTTGTAAATTAGTGTGGTTTAGGTATTATGCTAGCCATTATAGGTTGTAAATAAGTGTGGTTTAGGTATTATGTTAACCATTATAGGTTGTAAATAAGTGTGGTTTAGGTATTATGTTAGCCATTATAGGTTGTAAATAAGTGTGGTTTAGGTCTTATGTTAACCATTATAGGTTGTAAATAAGTGTGGTTTAGGTATTATGTTAGCCATTATAGGTTGTAAATAAGTGTGGTTTAGGTATTATGTTAACCATTATAGGTTGTCAATAAGTGTGGTTTAGGTATTATGTTCACCATTATAGATTGTAATAAGTGTGGTTTAGGTATTATGCTAGCCATTTTAGGTTGTAAATAAGTGTGGTTTAGGTATTATGTTAGCCATTATAGGTTGTAAATAAGTGTGGTTTAGGTCTTATGTTAACCATTATAGGTTGTAAATAAGTGTGGTTTAGGTATTATGTTAGCCATTATAGGTTGTAAATAAGTGTGGTTTAGGTATTATGTTAACCATTATAGGTTGTAAATAAGTGTGGTTTAGGTATTATGTTAACCATTATAGGTTGTAAATAAGTGTGGTTTAGGTATTATGTTAACCATTATAGGTTGTAAATAAGTGTGGTTTAGGTATTATGTTAACCATTATAGGTTGTAAATAAGTGTGGTTTAGGTATTATGTTAACCATTATAGGTTGTAAATAAGTGTGGTTTAGGTATTATGTTAACCATTATAGGTTGTAAATAAGTGTGGTTTAGGTATTATGTTAACCATTATAGGTTGTAAATAAGTGTGGTTTAGGTATTATGTTAACCATTATAGGTTGTAAATAAGTGTGGTTTAGGTATTATGTTAACCATTATAGGTTGTAAATAAGTGTGGTTTAGGTATTATGTTAACCATTATAGGTTGTAAATAAGTGTGGTTTAGGTATTATGTTAACCATTATAGGTTGTAAATAAGTGTGGTTTAGGTATTATGTTAACCATTATAGGTTGTAAATAAGTGTGGTTTAGGTATTATGTTAACCATTATAGGTTGTAAATAAGTGTGGTTTAGGTCTTATGTTAACCATTATAGGTTGTAAATAAGTGTGGTTTAGGTATTATGTTAGCCATTATAGGTTGTAAATAAGTGTGGTTTAGGTCTTATGTTAACCATTATAGGTTGTAAATAAGTGTGGTTTAGGTATTATGTTAGCCATTATAGGTTGTAAATAAGTGTGGTTTAGGTCTTATGTTAACCATTATAGGTTGTAAATAAGTGTGGTTTAGGTATTATGTTAGCCATTATAGGTTGTAAATAAGTGTGGTTTAGGTCTTATGCTAACCATTATAGGTTGTAAATAAGTGTGGTTTAGGTATTATGTTAGCCATTATAGGTTGTAAATAAGTGTGGTTTAGGTATTATGTTAACCATTATAGGTTGTAAATAAGTGTGGTTTAGGTATTATGTTAACCATTATAGGTTGTAAATAAGTGTGGTTTAGGTATTATGTTAACCATTATAGGTTGTAAATAAGTGTGGTTTAGGTATTATGTTAACCATTATAGGTTGTAAATAAGTGTGGTTTAGGTATTATGTTAACCATTATAGGTTGTAAATAAGTGTGGTTTAGGTATTATGTTAACCATTATAGGTTGTAAATAAGTGTGGTTTAGGTCTTATGTTAACCATTATAGGTTGTAAATAAGTGTGGTTTAGGTATTATGTTAACCATTATAGGTTGTAAATAAGTGTGGTTTAGGTATTATGTTAACCATTATAGGTTGTAAATAAGTGTGGTTTAGGTCTTATGTTAACCATTATAGGTTGTAAATAAGTGTGGTTTAGGTATTATGTTAGCCATTATAGGTTGTAAATAAGTGTGGTTTAGGTCTTATGTTAACCATTATAGGTTGTAAATAAGTGTGGTTTAGGTATTATGTTAGCCATTATAGGTTGTAAATAAGTGTGGTTTAGGTCTTATGTTAACCATTATAGGTTGTAAATAAGTGTGGTTTAGGTATTATGTTAGCCATTATAGGTTGTAAATAAGTGTGGTTTAGGTCTTATGTTAACCATTATAGGTTGTAAATAAGTGTGGTTTAGGTATTATGTTAGCCATTATAGGTTGTAAATAAGTGTGGTTTAGGTCTTATGTTAACCATTATAGGTTGTAAATAAGTGTGGTTTAGGTATTATGTTAACCATTATAGGTTGTAAATAAGTGTGGTTTAGGTATTATGTTAACCATTATAGGTTGTAAATAAGTGTGGTTTAGGTATTATGTTAACCATTATAGGTTGTAAATAAGTGTGGTTTAGGTATTATGTTAACCATTATAGGTTGTAAATAAGTGTGGTTTAGGTCTTATGTTAACCATTATAGGTTGTAAATAAGTGTGGTTTAGGTATTATGTTAACCATTATAGGTTGTAAATAAGTGTGGTTTAGGTCTTATGTTAACCATTATAGGTTGTAAATAAGTGTGGTTTAGGTATTATGTTAGCCATTATAGGTTGTAAATAAGTGTGGTTTAGGTCTTATGTTAACCATTATAGGTTGTAAATAAGTGTGGTTTAGGTATTATGTTAGCCATTATAGGTTGTAAATAAGTGTGGTTTAGGTCTTATGTTAACCATTATAGGTTGTAAATAAGTGTGGTTTAGGTATTATGTTAGCCATTATAGGTTGTAAATAAGTGTGGTTTAGGTCTTATGTTAACCATTATAGGTTGTAAATAAGTGTGGTTTAGGTATTATGTTAGCCATTATAGGTTGTAAATAAGTGTGGTTTAGGTCTTATGTTAACCATTATAGGTTGTAAATAAGTGTGGTTTAGGTATTATGTTAGCCATTATAGGTTGTAAATAAGTGTGGTTTAGGTATTATGTTAACCATTATAGGTTGTAAATAAGTGTGGTTTAGGTATTATGTTAACCATTATAGGTTGTAAATAAGTGTGGTTTAGGTATTATGCTAACCATTATAGGTTGTAAATTAGTGTGGTTTAGGTATTATGCTAACCATTATAGGTTGTAAATAATTTTCCCTTAGATCTTAATCTAACCATTATAGTTTGTAAATAAGTGTGGTTTATGTATTATGCTAACCATTATAGGTTGTAAATAAGTGTGGTTTAGGTCTTATGCTAGCCATTATAGGTTATAAATTAGTGGGGTTTAGGTATTGTGCTAGCCATTATAGGTTATAAATTAGTGGGGTTTAGGTATTATGCTAGCCGTTATAGGTTGTAAATAAGTGTGGTTTAGGTATTATGCTAACCACTTTAGGGTGTAAATAAGTGTGGTTTAGGTATTATGCTAGCCATTATAGGTTGTAAATAAGTGTGGTTTAGGTATTATGCTAGCGATTATTTGTTGTAAATAAGTGTGGTTTAGGTCTTATGCTAGCTATTATACGTTGTAAATAAGTGTGGTTTAGGTATTATGCTAGCCATTATAGGTTGTAAATAAGTGTGGTTTAGGTATTATGCTAACCATTATAGGTTGTAAATAAGTGTGGTTTAGGTATGATGCTAACCACTATTGGTTGTAAATAAGTGTGGTTTAGGTATTATGCTAGCGATTATTTCTTGTAAATAAGTGTGGTTTAGGTCTTATGCTAACCATTATAGGTTGTAAATATGTGTGGTTTAGGTATTATGCTAACCATTATAGGTTGTAAATAACTGTGGTTTAGGTATTATGCTAACCACTATAGGTTGTAAATAAGTGTGGTTTAGGTATGATGCTAACCACTATAGGTTGTAAATAAGTGTGGTTTAGGTATTATGCTAGCGATTATAGGTTGTAAATAAGTGTGGTTTAGGTATTATGCTAGCCATTATAGGTCGTAAATAAGTGTGGTTTAGGTCTTATGCTAGCTATTATACGTTGTAAATAAGCGTGGTTTAGGTATGATGCTAACCACTATAGGTTGTAAATACGTGTGGTTTAGGTATTATGCTAGCGATTATAGGTTGTAACTAAGTGTGGTTTAGGTCTTATGCTAGCTATTATAGGTTGTAAATAAGTGTGGTTGAGGTCTTATGCTAGCCATTATACGTTGTAAATAAGTGTGGTTTAGGTCTTATGCTAACCATTATAGGTTGTAAATAAGGGATTCAAATTACATTAAGTTTGCTTACAATTGTAAGCTGGCGGAGTTTACTTTTTGTATTTTAAATTATCAAACTAAACTTTTATGCATTTCAACAGAATATGTATTAATTTTGTAAACAATTCTTGTTTATTATGAAAGCAAAATGTTAACCACCGTAAACTCTATGATGATTTCTGTAATATAGCGATACCGATTTCTTGGTGAGTCTGGCCGCCATGTTTAACCACAGTAAGATCCCGGATGACAAAAACAGAACAAACGTAACCCATCTGTACGGGTCGTGGTACTCTCGTCAGGACCAGTCGGGAGATAGCTTCAACTGTGTATGGGGCAGACGACTGGACGGGTAGGCACTCAGTAAAACCTGGTTACTGTAAATTTACAAGGAGACATATTCTCGAATGTACCTCTTCCACAATATTTATTCAATTCATAATTTACTACGTTCACTGCACCCCAGTAACATGTCAGGACGAAATCGAAGGCACATCTTAGCAATTGATTGGTTTCGACCTCAGAGTAAGTCAATTTTAGGCTGCCGTGTGATTCTATTGATGAATAACAAAATATCAAACTAGTATAACGTGTATCGTCCACCAGGTGGCGCGTACAGAACTTTCGATTTTGCCGTGACATACTTCTGGAATGCAGAGAAAGGAACATAAGAGAGTATATTCCATTGAATGTCTAAGCTTCCATAGTAATACCGGTAATCAGGTTGACATACACACGATATAAGTATTTGACAAGTGTTGATACAGACAAACACATCGTAACGTCGAACGTTTGAATTATGGAAAAAGTGTACGAAAGTCGTTTTCCAGGTAAAATTATCTGAAATTTGTATGAAGAAGGAATCCTACAAAATATAAATTACATATTGTCTGTGTGAAACATTGCCTTCATCTTTAATAAGCGCTTCGCCCTTTAACTTTTGCGTTTAATTTCGATTAAGTCTATATATCGTTTTTTGTTTCCTTTTACATATTTAGAGCGTCAATTCATCAGTGATGTACTTTTTTAACGTGATAACGTGCTAAAATTTTGAGTGCGCTAAAAATAAGTACATGAACGTTACAGTATCACAAGGAGATTGTTTTGTTTTGTATTTTTATTTAGTCTTAATTGCTTGGTATGTTACAGCCTTACCACCACAGAGAAACGCTGTATGCTTGTGTATCTCAACGGTAAGTAGTATCAGTGTAGTAAAAATGTAATACTCATGTATAGGATGTAGTCAGTAAAACCAAATGCCCAGGAAAGTAACAGAGCGGTAGTGTATAATAACTGTAAGGGAGGTAACTCTTATTTTGATAAATTACAATTACCAGAGACTGTTACTTATGTCCGTTTATTGCAGATATTGACCACTGCTCCGGAGGTGCTTTTTGTAAACGTAACGGAACGTGCATTACGCTCTACAAACGTTACACGTGCAAATGTCCACATGGCTTCAAACCACCTGACTGCCAGCTACGTAAGTGATTGTTTCTATTTAACTATATGCTGGAATCACAAGTAACTCTTCTATGGTTTTCCCTGCGTTTGTGGTAAAATGTACCCGAGTTGTCTTCACTATAGTTTGCTATCACATAAGTTCACAGATAATACTATTTCTGAATTTCATATTTCATATTGTCTGTGTTTATAAGCAAAACGCTTCCAACATTTTGTCAGGAATTATATTTAAATCAATTATTGAAGAACTTCATGGTACCATGAAACTTCATTACGAGTTATGATGCTAAAATATTTACCTTTATTTTTGTGTCAGCATTATCCCTCTTAAGTAAGAATCTCATCAATACATGTACCGTTATGTACCCTAAAATGTGTCGTTTTGTTAATATATGACAAAATGTTTACAGGATTCCTACGGTAGAGCTTTTTGCAAAAAGGGTAATAAAATATGAAAATAGAAAAGAAGGAAAAGAATCCTGTTCAGATTGCATCTTTTCCTTCCCCTAATCAAGACATTTTAAAGTACTATCTAACGTTGTCAACAACAAAAATGAAATTTGGAAACTTGTACTGTCACTTACATTTGGAAGGGATTCTTAATGAAATGGAAGCTTAAAAATCCGTCACAATGTTAATCAGCAGTTGACAGTGTGTCCTTACTTGTATTTTTACAGGTGTGAGCTGTTTGGACTTCCCCTGTAAACACAATGGAACCTGTGTAGATACCGGCACAATGTACAAGTGCACATGCGCACCAGGTAAACGATTCATTTAGGGACAAACATGTCAGAAATAAGATTATAATCACATCTAAAGTAGTCACTGAATGAACGAAGTAAGGTAACACGTAGGTAGGGATGTAGAACGAAGTAAGGTTACACGAGTCACTGAATGAACGAAGTAAGGTAACACGTAGGTAAGCATGTCAGAAATAAGATTATAATCACATCTAAAGTAGTCACTGAATGAACAAAGTAAGGTAACACGTAGGTAAGCATGTCAGAAATAAGATTATAATCACATCTAAAGTAGTCACGGAATGAACGAAGTAAGGTAACACGTAGGTAAGGATGTAGAACGAAGAAAGGTAACACGTAGATAGGGATGTAGAACGAAGTAAGGTAACACGTAAGTAGGGATGTAGAACGAAGTAAGGTAACACGTAGGTAAGGATGTAGAACGAAGTAAGGTAACACGTAGGTAGGGATGTAGAAAGAAGTAAGGTAACACGTAGGTAGGGATGTAGAACGAAGTTAGGTAACACGTAGGTAAGGATGTAGAACGAAGTAAGGTAACACGTAAGTAAGGATGTAGATCGCAAAGCAAAGTTATCTCTGCACCTCATTTCATCCATTTAGGAATCAGCAGTGGTGTTAATCGTGAAGAAATAAAATCCATGTCGTACGTATTGTGGAAGCACAGTTAAAAGGGAGAAGTACTGCCTATATTTTTTGTTCAAGATTTGTTTCTTATTTACAACTCTTGCTTCCAACTGAAAATTTATTTTTCAATTAGTATTGCTTGTAAATTGTTATAGAATACTTTCCAGCAACAACGTTATGGCTAACCTCAGGCTAACTTCAGCAAAGTGTATATACTTGTATCAAATAAATTTTTGATCCTTTTTTACCCCCAGATGTTTCAATATTTTGAAAATGTTGTGCTAGTTGAAGGCAGGTAGACTATTCTTTTTAAAAATGAGAATATCAGGTGTTCAACAAACTGCTTTGGTACTGCTGAGATGTTGATGCTCGTCTTTCTAGTATCAGTCCTGTTTAGTAGTCACTTGCCAACAATCAGATTGCCACGTCCGAGGTCACTGGGTGCCTCTATTTGGGACTGAGACACGCGTATCTTTAACCGGATGTGAGAGAAAACGTGGTCAAGAATACACTCCTGGCGTTTACTCTCTATTTCTTTCCCCGTTCTTGAAAAGGTAGAGCAATGTTAGTTACCATTTATTGAGTTTGTGCTGTAGCTTATCAAAACATGATGCCTCGTATAAATGTGTGACATGTAATCGTCAGAGGTGAATTGTTGATTAACAGAACGCTGCCTTACACCACTGCCACTGTAGACTAGGAAGTGCTGATATTTCTTTGTTGTCTATTTGTCTATTCTTCATGACGATTCTTTGTACTTAAAGCGGTAATGCATAACAATAGCGATTTTTCAGCGTGTGATTGCTTAGTATTTTGTTTATATCCATTGGAGTTAGATAAATCTCCAGTATGACATACAAGCTTCCGTGAGTAAGGTATACTTACGAGATAAATCTCCAGTATGTCATACAAGCTTCCGTGAGTAAGGTATACTTACGAGATAAGTTTCCAGTATGACATACAAGCTTCCGTGAGTAAGGAATACTTACCAGATAAGTCTCCAGTATGACATACAAGCCTCCGTGAGTAAGGTATACTTACGAGATAAGTTTCCAGTATGACATACAAGCTTCCGTGAGTAAGGTATACTTACGAGATAAGTTTCCAGTATGACATACAAGCTTCCGTGAGTAAGGAATACTTACGAGATAAAACTCCAGTATGACATACAAGCTTCCGTGAGTAAGGTATACTTACGAGATAAATAACCAAAAGTAAAAGTAAAACTTTGATATCACATATTTCCAAACTGATGAATCTTATTGAAGATATTAATAGAGCTAGTTTTTCATGATGATGTCAACGTTAACATTCCAATTTCATTTTATTATACAACATTAAAGCACGAGGGAGAATATAGATAGTTATCACTAGTTTGGTAATGTGTTTCTCCCTTTAACCGAAACTTAAATTAACACATTGTGATATAAAAGTATCGAGATCCGGGTGAAATTGTAAAAATATACTTTTTGCTAGACTGACAAAACTTATGGTGTGTGCGAGAGAAATATGTGTTCCTATTCTGTGTTTATACGCGTAATTACACGCCAACGGTTGACGTTACACGTGTTGGTGCAGTAAAATTAAATAGAAAGTTTATATTTTGCTTACAGCAGTCATATTTCTATATGTAGGTTACAACGGTGTGGACTGTCAATGGAAATATGATGAATGTTCAAGTTCTCCATGTCAAAACAATGGCACATGCGGTAATGACGTCACTGGCTTTACCTGCTCGTGTCTAGCTAATTATACTGGCGACACATGTCAGACCCGTAAGTAAACTTAACGATCGACAGTACCCATCACATATTATCATAATTATACTGGCGACACATGTCAGACCCGTAAGTAAAATTAACGATCGACAGTACCCATCACATGTTATCATAAGTATACTGGCGACACATGTCAGACCCGTAAGTAAAATTAACGATCGACAGTACCCATCACATGTTATCATAAGTATACTGGCGACACATGTTAGACCCGTAAATAAAAATTAACGATCGACAGTACCCATCACATGTTATCATAATCATACTGGCGACACATGTCAGACCCGTAATTAAAATTAACGATCGACAGTACCCATCACATGTTATCATTATTATACTGGCGACACATGTCAGACCCGTAAATAAAATAAACGATCGACAGTACCCATCACATGTTGTCATAGTTATACTGGCGCCGACACATGTCAGACCCGTAAATAAAATGAACGATCGACAGTACCCATCACATGTTATCATAATTATACTGGCGACACATGTCAAACCCGTAAGTAAAATTAGCAATCGACAGTACCATCACATGTTATCATTATTATTCTGGCGACACATGTCAAACCCGTAAGTAATATTAACAATCGACAGTACCCATCACATGTTATCATAATTATACTGGCGACACATGTCAGACCCATAAGTAAAAATAACAATCGACAGTACCCATCACATGTTATCATAATTATACTGGCGACACATGTCAGACCCGTAAGTAAAATTAACGATCGACAGTACCATCACATATTATCATAATTATACTGGCGACACATGTCAGACCTGTAAGTAAAATTAACGATCGACAGTACCATCACACGTTATCATAAGTATGTAAGATTCTTTACCTTCCATTTATTACAAGAAGTAAATTACACATAAAATAAAATGTATTTTACTCTGTAATTCAACATTCTGCATTGTATTGTACATGTGTTTTAGGTGTGCTGTAAGATGATAAGACAACTAGTTCTGACAGTTTCAATGAAATGTGCAGTTGCATGTTGTATTTTATTCATAGACAGACATGTACAGGTGACACTTTTCAAGAGTTTACTCAATGCGAGCCTCATATGATGGCTAACTGAAGGCAACTTACTGTAAATTTACGCTGGATAAACCTAATTCAGATGGTGTTGTTTCGTAGACAACTAGTATTTTAAGAAGACATTAGGTATCTGTACCTACATCATATGTGTATGTTTCAAGTTAACCATTTATATCATGTTTCATGTGTAAGTTATTCTTATACAACCTGGTAACTAGAGACCTTTATAACCCCTGTTTGTTTTAATATTAAGAGGTTGTGATTAATTTACGGTAGTTAGAGTTAGTACATGATACTGTAGGAACAGGATCAATGTGACTGTGATAGCTTGTAAATAAGAATCAATTAATTTTAATCCAATTAATAATTACCACTGTACGAATCGTCATTTAAACATGCTTCTTTTCTCATTGATAAACCTTGAACGATGAGGACACCAGAAGCACTGTTATATGTAACTTTTAATCATCACTTAATTCAAATTAAATCGGCGAAACGAACATTCAACGACTTTTCATCATTATGCAATAAATCGGCTTCTTTTTCCTGATAAAATGTTGATTAATGACGACTGTAAAATCAAAATGTTGGTCATATGTTCAGTGAGTAAAATGAATATTGAAAAGCAGCGACATTACATCCATAATCCTTTCTACTGCGTTCATGTTCAAATGTGCAGTTAAAGGAAGGGTCAGAAATTCGACCAGAACCGTTATACGTCCTCAATTTTATAACACAAATTAATGGAACAGAATTTTAATTATAATAAAAAAATGCTTGCAAACTAAAAGAAAACGTGTAAAAAATATAGAGGAATGCTCGTTACAGATTCTAATCTGTTAGTAGTGATAAATTGTTCATTGAAAGAAATGCTACATTCGAAGTGACAATCTTCATATAACGATGATAATATTTGTTTCAGACGCAACTTCCATGGTATGTAAACATCAAAACAGTATTTCTAAACATTTTCTTCGGGTTGGTAAGTATGGATTAAGAAAAGTTTCTTGTTACACAACCAATAAGTGTTTCTATGTGACGTTTCGATGACTAGTACGGTATGTACTCTGACACCTTCATCAGACAAATGATCAGTGAAGCGTATGCACACAAAAGTGTAAAATGTGTACGAGTTGTCCACAAATAGATGTCGATTCGGCTACGCTGTAAGCGTTTGTACAATAGTTGTTATATATGTACCGAAATGACTCGATCAGCTACGCTTTGTTTAATACTTGGTCATAGATGTGCGAGAGTCTATGAGCCCCCTCATCTCGATTTAGAACTGGCCCACTCGTTGTGTAACAAGAAACTTTTCATAATCATAACTGTATACTTTGTGATTTCTTTAGATCAGTTGAATGCATTAGACACCCATGTCCCACTACAGGCAAAACAATATAGAACTCCACTGTAGATGTTCAATAATTCAGTAACTTCCCCTTGGAGCGACGATATAATCACGGTTAGATGGCTGGGATCCTTAACTTGACGTGATATTTATATTTTTTTCCAAAAGAATTTCGCGTTAGAAACATGCAACCTTTTGTTTGAGAATGATAGTCTGATCTAAGTTGATTATTTATTTATTAATATATTTGTAACATCGACATAACTGTTTATTATATACAATTAAACAAGTATTTCAATTCCTACTGCAGGATTTGCGTCCAATGGTGGGTAGTCTGGATCCACCTGTCTGGCCCCTATTGGTCGGAGTATTCGGTGGATTGGCATTAGCTGTATCCGCAGGAGCATGTTGTTGGTGGTACCTTGGCGCCGCCAAACGTCGTAGACGGAAAAAAGAACAGAAAGTCGAGCCTGCATCACGCTGGGTGGAGGATCCCAGGAGCTGCTCACGGGCGTCAAGTGGCATTGTCTCGAGAGAGAAATCTGATGACGTTATTGGAACTCCTGACTTTCCTGTGACGTCACATAATGGCGGTATCACCGGGTCTAACATCAGCGATAACGGCAAGCAAACATGAGAAGCAGCACGAAAAGTATTTCACGAAATGACCACCTCTTAATGACGTAGGACTGCAGTGACGAGGTGTTTTATGCTTCAGTTATATATAAACGAACATTATATTTATGTGCGTGATGAGATGATAGCAATTTCATATTTCTTGTTTTCCTTCTTGTGTAAGAAGCCAGTTCTCGTACATTGTCATATTTTGTGGTTTTACAATAAATTTTATAAAGGGTCCATTGCAGTTCATTCTTGACAAAAACAATTCCATGGCAATATTTACATTAAATTACTTTCACCGTTTTGTTATATACCAGTGTTTCCTATTAATTTGATTGGCTCAACACTTGAACTCTTGGCTTTTGGGATAGCCAATTGTTTTGTAATACGATTAACAAATAATCAATGGAGTCTGTTTTGTTCTGTAGAATTATATTATTAAACTATGTGCTCTATAGTTTGATTATTCAGTGTACTTCTCCATGGTGATTAACTGCTGGTGATCATTATAATTATATAAAAGAGCATATTTATTTCAGTGGCAATTCAGTCATTTATATTTCAGTTGGGATCTGGTGAAAAGATATTTGATAAGAATTTGAAACAAAATAGAAATGTTTACCTCTTAATGTTAATGGTTTGAAAATGTTTGAGATTATATTTCTACCTAGCAATTTTATTTTGTAATGAATCTTTTTTATTTATTTCATTTGCTTATGTTGGGTTTTTTTTAAATATGTTTAACCGTTCCCTCTTTTTGCCTTGCCTAATAAACGTAATGTGTTTGTATATATATATAATGTGTATCAATTTTATCTTAAAAATGTTTTAAACTATGCTTGAACGACTTTTGGTACATAATCATTAAGTAAATACGATTTGGATGATTGAGCATCGTTAGATTAGGGAGATAAAGTTGGGGAAGGAAAAAGGGACAAAGGGTGTTCAACCCCTATCTCTCGGCTTTCCTGATCCACCGCTAAGTACATAACTACCGTCTATCCATCTTATATGATTGACATTTTATATCGAAATGTTAGCCGTTTTGTCAGGTTGATTTATAACAATATGATATCTAAACACATGAAATGAAAATCTGTCTGTGTACGCTGTCGAGATTTAACTATCGAAAGACCTTAAGAGTTAAAGTTTAGAAACTGGTAAACCCGTTCCTTGGTCATTATCCAACGGGGAAACACATAGCCCTGATTTGTATTAGTTATTTTCCTACGGTACCTGTCGTTTACACTAACACGCTCACTTGTTTGAACGTTTAAAAGATAATGTTAAATCATGTACAACACAGGTAGATGGTCTAAGTATACTGGTATATTGTGTGCTGGATACAAATATTGATTTAATATATGTTGATATGCGATCTATACAGATTAATTATACAAAAGAAAATGGTTGCAGATTTTAATGAATTTGGACTTGCTCTAGCACATCGTCTTCATTTTCCATGTAACACAAGTCAAGTTTGAGCGCTACAGCTATTCATTATATTAAATACGTTTTTATTAAGCGGTTATCATAGCATAACGCTGACGAATTATCTCAAACATCGCTTGAATATTGTTTCTTAATTTGACGCTTTTATCTAATTTACGGATGACTATATATAACATACTTGCACTTTTCACAAGTTTGTTTCGTACACGGTTTTGTTTAGATTTATTCATCACTTATAAGAATAAATGCATGATTCATTTTCTATAGTATCAGTCCCTAAGCAGAGGCTCGCATAGATATACCCCAACCCCCTTCCCCCGACTGATTTCCCCGTGACCTAAGATCATTCAACCTTGATAGGTGACCACCAATATCTAATCAAGTACAAAATTCAATGTTACTTCACTATAGTGTAAATATACTATAAATTTGTTTGTGGTTTTGTGAGATCACTTGTTCACAAGCCTTTTACTTCAAAAGTGGTCAAGTGTAATATTTGCCCGTGGTCTTTGACCCTTAAGCCTAGACCGATGACCACCTCTAATCAGGTACAGAACGTAACAAAACCACGCTTTGGTGTTAATATAAACTAAATGTGTTCAGGAGCTGTTGAGACATATTGTACACAAGGTTTTTTTAACTACAGACGGACGTACTGACAAAACGACTGCTATATACTCCCTCAATCAGTTGGGGTAAAAGAAATCTAAAATCACGGTGGATATAAAAATACACCTTTAAACTTCATGGAGATTTCGCACTTAATGGGAAAATCATCAAGAAAATCCTTTAGCGTGTCTATTATTTTGGAATATTGAGCGTTTCCGGTGCTAAATATGTTACAAATTGGTTTAAATGTTAAACAATAAAGGTTTTGAAATATTAATTAATTATCAAGCAGTTTTATACCAAACATACAAACACAATTTAATTACTCATCCAACGACTCAACCACAGCGATGATACATTACCAGCACCCACATACACAAAAAGACATTTTCGCTACATAGAACCAAATATGAACAAGTGACTTTAGGCTCTATCAAATAATCAATCTATATCACAGCACAGGGCCTTCGTAATAACGCATACAGCTTAAGACAGTTTGTATTTGATACACACGTATTTTAGTGCTAATATGGACTATCTTTTATCCACAGTTATTGATAAATGACCGTAGATCTGTCAGATAACTTTTCTCCCATATCGGGCCCCTCATACCAGGTAATAGCCGTTTCTCAATTCCCTATAAAATACCGACGACAGTGAGTGTGGTCCGTTGATATTCCAAACCGCCGCTAACTGCTGATAACTAATGTATGAAGAAAATACTTTATCAACACGAGTAGTTTACGTATCATACTTTTCCAAATGATCAAAGACAAGTCATCCCTAGGGACAACATCACTGTTCGTCTTTATTTTATTGCTTGTCTGCTGTGACGGCAAATTCCTTGGCGGAAGTATCAACTGGCATTTCCTTGGGGGAAAGGTAAGCCGAATATTTAAAGAAATTGTAGTTTCAAAACATAAACAAATAAGAAATCTTATTTATAAATTTAGCTTTTAATTTTTTTCTCAATTTTTAGTTCGCCTTTTCTTTCTTTGAAAGGACTTAACAGGTATCTTTAAATAATTAGTGTCGCATAAATGCTTTTAACAGTAATTTAATCTTCAACATATTTGTTATAGCGCCCGCGCTACTCCTACCTCCCAATACAAAATCTTTCGTTGTGTTACTTAAAGGAACATATCTCATTTTAATAACTTGTAAATACAGATATAAGAAATAAATATTTATTATCATGAACTGTGTTTGAAAACATTGTTTTTAAATATTATCATTGATATTTAACCTAACATACATGTAATTGACACATATTGATACATATAATTTATGTCAAAATTACACTAACTTTATGCGGGGAAAATATTTGTGTTCAATAAATAGCTTTATAAAAGTCAATGATCTGATGGTTGAAGGAATCAGTTTGCTCACATGAAACTTAACATTTCATATATAAGAAGTGGACACGATCCCTGCGTTTGGATTGGGGGAAGTTTAATCATCGTCTTTATAAAAAGAATTGCGGTTTTTTTTGTATTGTCACTATTATTGTCTATGCCAGGTATTAATTGTCAAAATCGTCTGAAATAGTTTGTTGAATTCAAAATAGGTCCGGTTCACGTATCGCCTAACATGGGAGAAAGGAACAGGTCCCTGCGGTGCTGGATGTTCTCTAGCAAGTTTGAACAAACTTGGAACAATACCACTGCCCTTAAGTATCCTCTCCTGGACATGTACATCTGGTTGTAATGGTAACAAGAAGCTGTACGGTGTTAATTACGTCACAACGTCTGTTGGGACGGGGCTGTCAAGCTGGGAGCAGGGCGAAGGAAGCTTCTCTTTTACTCCACCTTTAGCGAACGGAAAATACGAAATAACGTAAGTTATAGCTTTCTCACCACAGAGTGCAATAAAGGGTTTCGAAACACTTTAGACACCGATCATAAATTCTTTCTTACTTTTAGTATCACTGGTGATTCCTTAAGAGGCAAACTATCTATTCGAAGCAGAAAAAAAATGATTTCTTCACCTACATACGAAATCTTCACCTGCATACGAAATCTATGTATCCGTGTTTCTTCGTATTTCCTTGAGCAAGGGAAACACTGTACTCTGTATTGTATTATACCTTGGACAATTGTATGTTTGAGATAAGCTACTTGATTGAGAACTGGAGAGTATTTGTTTAAAAAAAGCTTCCCCCCTTAGCTTAGAATAAATAAAAGTGAAGGTTACAAACCTTTACGTAATTGTATTAGATGTGACAAGATTCAGATGCATGCGGGCGGTAAAGGTGCTGGAAGATTGTGTTCCAGAAGTAATTGAGAAGTAGCAGTGAAGAAAAGAGATTGCAATCAATTCCGGATCAATGAACATATTCTTTCTTCTTGATAATAATTATCAAAACAAAAAATTGATATATAAAGTATAAATGTATCATAGTTTTATATAAACTCCTATAGTTTTACATTTGTTTGATTGAGGTATATTATTGCATGACATATTACGCCACTTACAGTCCTGGTTACGTTAGATGCACCAAAACGTATACCTCTTGAACCTGAAGAAAATAAATCTGTTTAAATAACTTTCCATCCCACCACCATCAACCATGACGTCTAAAAACAAGTTTCAATAATGATAATACTTTTGTTTACGTAAAAAATCTACTCTACATCCAGGTGGTAAATATAAATTCCATATTCGTTTAAAAATCCACTTGTAATATTCAAGTGATCTAAAAGTGACGCATGGAGTCCCTATGTTTGTACCTACTTAAAAGTTACATCGCCCTGTAGTGTCCATCATAATGCCATTACGAAAAGTTATTACTTTCCTCTGTCCATTCCCAGATTAACAGCTAAGCTCCCCCTGACCTGCCAGAGACCAGCACAGGATTACAGTATTACTTATTAAGTTTGTTCTTTATCCCCTCAGTATAAAAAGGGTTCTTCCTGCGTCACCGCACCTGGGTAGAAACTATTCCCATGATCACTTTTGTAAATATAGTGTTTTGTTATCAATTTGATATTTACTCGTGGATAAGAGAACCGACAGCCCAATACCATTGTTACCTGGGTGCCACACAGGTAAACATCACCTGTTCGGGTATGATTGATTTTGTTTCTATTACAATATATATAACAGGTTGATTCATTGTACATCACAACATGGCTGTTATTTATTGCAGTGATTTTTTATGTCAATTAATATTCATAAACCTAGAGTCACATGAACTAGAAGGGCATTTGCACATAATTGAGATATGGTTAGAGTTATGCCTTGATATATCGATTTATTACATTTGGACATAATTGAGATATGGTTAGAATTATGCCTTGAAATATCGATTTATTACATTTGGACATAATTGAGATATGGTTAGAATTATGCCTTGATATATCGATTTATTAGATTTGGACATAATTGAGATATGGTTAAAGTTATGCCTTGATGTATGGATTTATTACATTTGGACATAATTGAGATATGGTTAGAGTTATGCCTTGAAATATCGATTTATTACATTTGGACATAATTGAGATATGGTTAGAATTATGCCTTGATATATCGATTTATTACATTTTGACATAATTGAGATATGGTTAGAGTTATGCCTTGATATATCGATTTATCACATTTGGACATAATTGAGATATAGTTAGAGTTATGCCTTGATATATCGATTTATTGCATTTGGACATAATTGAGATATGGTTAGAGTTATGCCGTGATATATCGATTTATTACATTTGAACATAATTGAGATATGGTTAGAGTTATGCCTTGATTTATCGATTTATTACATTTGGACATAATTGAGATATGGTTAGAGTTATGCCTTGAAATATCGATTTATTATATTATGACATAATTGAGATATGGTTAGAGTAATGCCTTGATATATCGATTTATTACATTTGAACATAATTGAGATATGGTTAAAGTTATGCCTTGATATATCGATTTATTACATTTTGACATAATTGAGATATGGTTAAAGTTATGCCTTGATGTATGGATTTATTACATTTGGATATAATTGAGATATGGTTAGAGTTATGCCTTGATATATCGATTTGTTACATTTGGACATAATTGAGATATGGTTAGAGTTATGCCTTGATATATCGATTTATTACATTTGAACATAATTGAGATATGGTTAGAGTTATGCCGTGATATATCGATTTATTACATTTTGACATAATTGAGATATGGTTAGAGTTATGCCTTGATGTTACGATTTATTACATTTTGACATAATTGAAATATGGTTAGATTTATGCCTTGATGTATCGATTTATTACATTTTGACATAATCTAGATATGGTTAGAGTTATGCCTTGATATATCGATTTATTACATTTGGACATAATTGAGATATGATTAGAGTTATGCCTTGATATATCAATGTATTACATTTGGACATAATTGAGATATGGTTAGAGTTATGCCTTGATATATCGATTTATTACATTTTGACATAATTGAAATATGGTTAGATTTATGCCTTGATATATCGATTTATTACATTTTGACATAATTGAGATATGGTTAGAATAATGCCTTGATATATCGATTTATTACATTTGGACATAATTGAGATATGGTTAGAGTTATGCCTTGATATATCGATTTTTTACATTTTTACCAGAGAAATATCAGAAATTCTTAATGTGATAAAATCTAATATCTTGAATGCATCGTGTGATAAAAACTAATATCTTGAATGCATCGTCTGATAAAAACTCATATCTTGAATGCATCGTGTGATAAAAACTAACATCTTGAATGCATTGAAGATATAAGAAATTATATATCTTCACCAGAGATGATTTAAGGTCCAGTGTCGATGAAATAGAACCAAACAGTATTTTCTTTTTACCGATGCAGATTTTCTATTCCGTTGCACATGAAGCAACGATAGAATAAGTGTTTTTTTTACATCCATGGTACATACATCAAGTTATTGGAGGAGAGCCCGGATGTACAGGTGAGCGGACGTGTTTTTCAATCGCTCCGTTAAGCTCATCGATATACGTCTTTATATATATCGGGTACTATTTTTCAAGAAGATCAAGACTTTCACAATTCAAAAAGGAACTTCCATTTGAAAGGACATTGAAGATAAAATGTGTGTTTTACCGGAAAACAGCATGTAAAACGCTAAGGAATGTGCCATTGTTCAAAATCGTGAGTACTGTTCATACATGTACTACGGCAGTAAATGTACGTCTGACTGTTATTCACGTATATTCTGTACATATAGAAGACTTGTGTAAACTGTACTGTGTACTTAGTGTAGACTTTGGGTTACCCCCTTACAGTTGCGTACGTAAAACGTCCAACCAACAAAGTAAAGATGAGTGTCGAAAACAACGCCACCAGTCACACAACTATTGACGAGGGTTTCGAGGTGGTTAAACCGAAAAATAAAAAGACTCCGACGACGACAAAAGCTCCAACCACAAGAAAATCTACAAAACAACCAGTCATTGACTTTTCACAATCAAATAAAAGAGCATCCTTGTCGGGAACTACACAAGAGTTGGGGGGAAAGCTGGACCGCGTGTGTTCTTTTTTGAAAGATATAGTTACGGCCGAGATGTTGGATACTAAACTAGATTGTATCAAGCTGGAAATCATGTGCCAGAACAAAGAAATGTTTCAGAAACTAGAGACCAGGATAACTTCACTAGAACACGAAAATCGCATATTGAAAAATAGAGTGGGAGAGCCAGAGGAGAAAGTCGATGAAATCGAGCAAAACGTAGGTACGGAGCCCGAAACCAACAGAGACTTGGAAATAAGATATAATGACCTCGAACAGCAAGGTAGAAAAAATAGCATCCGAATTTACGGACTTAAAGATGATGGGGCCAAGGAAACTACAGAGGAGTGTATAGACAAAGTTGTAAAACTGATCAAAAACAAACTTAACCTAGCCACTTTTAACGAGGCTGAAATAGATGTAGCCCATAGACTTGGTAAACCTATTTCGGGGAAAAATCGTAGTGTGATTTGTAAATTTGTGCATAGGAGGAAAAAGACTGAAATAGTCACAAAACGACGTGCTCTTAAAGGAAGTGGTATTGTGATAGTGGAGGACATGACCCAAATGAATCGTACATTGTTGAATGATGTTAAAAGTGTCGAAGGAGTGACCAATTCGTGGTGTTCGGACGGCAAATTGTTCGCGATGCTTTCCAATGACAAAATTGTGCGAATCGATCATTATACAATCTTCGAAAATCTGAAAAATGACAGCAAAAAGCACAAGAAATCTGCTTGAAATGACTATACTATTCAGAGACACAGCGTCTCTTCCTACATGACTTTTTTTGTATACATATACATAAATACTGTTGTAATATGCATACCTTAATACTGAAATTGGTGAAATTCTTCGATTGCTCATACAAATCATTTAGCAAAACTATTTTAGCAATGTAAAAGTGAGTAATGATTACAATCCGGAAATTTAACCCATCCCCGACTACCTTATTTATGTCTATATTATATAGTAAAATATAACTTCCGGTTAAGGTACGGAGCTTTGAAAATGCAATATTGATTTTAAGAAGAGTTATGTGTTATGTGAGTATTTTATTGTCGTATTGAAATCAAATGTAATCTTTGTTATTAAGATCGTTGATGCAATTTATATAGCCAAAATGTTTTCATAGCGAAAGGTCGATTAATATCATCCGGAATTTTAGTCCATATACGGCTACTTTTTATATTGGATGTATTGACTTCCGGTAAGGCCGGACCATGTGTCTTCGCTGATGATAAACACAGACAGGCAAAGAAAGGCGATGCTGAATTTGGTACAAATCTTAAGCGTTTTCTAGAGTCGTCTAAATAACATGTATTTGCACTGCAATAACAATAGTTTGTAAAACAGGGCGTCATAGACGTCTTTTGTTGGGTTTATTTTTGGAAGATTTAAATAAGTTACCTCCCCTACCAGTGTCAAATCTACAGTATGCATGAATATATTGGCATTTTAAGAATACTGTATATGATTTGTCAGTCATGTTATTTTAAATTAAAACGTAGAATTTACTTAATGGACATACTTTAGACATGAGCCGATGTGGCATATTCGTATTCAGTGTACAAATTTTACGAAGAAAAACCCAATCAGCTCGTAAACAGGAATTCTTTTTACTACCATATATTGACTAAGAAAATATACATTTAAATATTCATACTAGTATGACATCTTGAATATTACAAAGACTATAAGTAAAATGGATCATTTTAAAATATATAGCTGGGGGCTGTCTTTTTTTTTCTCTCTCCAAGATGTCATGAGTGACAGATATTGGACCAATAAATGTATTAAGATTTATGATGCAATATATGATAAAATTATGTCTCATCCATATTTCGACTTATTATAAAGTGTGCAGATAAGCACATTTATGAGTGGACATTGGGTTAAAAGTAACTGATATGGGCTGTACATAGCACAAATAAAGGTGAACCAGGCGATTTGGCCTGATCAATTTTTTTATATATATAAAAGTAAATTTAGTACTACATATCTTTCTGGGAGACAAGTTCAACACTGTATCATTATGTCACCCAATATGTATACAAACCTGTGCGTTATCTTTTTCTTTGTATATTTATTTTGTTTTTATCATGGATGTTCATATACGTTACAGTAAAAAAAAATACATCTCTGCCATCATCTTTACTTTGGAAATTGATATTATCATGGTAAACAATATTAATGTATGTTGAAATAAATATTAAAAGAAGACATGTCCTCTAGCTGTTAGTGACATGGATCATGTCCTATGACTTATGGTATAAGTTTAGACATTTAGAGAGCTTCAGGAGTATATGTTGGTAGTCTTCTCCCATGTTTTGAGCTTATCTTTTTAATGTTATTGTGAATATAAAATAAAGAGTCATTAGTATAAGCATATACTAAATGCTCTGGTACATGAGCCCTCGAGTAACACTTATGAAGTGCCATTATCAATATTATTTATTTTTTTTGCAATATATATATAAATCAATTTTAGTACTGCATATCATTCTGGGAAGTTTGTTGAAAATGCACACCAGAATCATTATATCATCAACTA